TTAGTGGAAATCAAAAATCAGTGCTCAGTTACAGGCAGAGCATATACACATTATGTAGGTGAATCTATGTCACTATGTTTGATCCTTCCTTCTTTGGCAATGAGTACAAATATATTTAAGGAGAAAGGGGACATGTTGACTGGTGTTTTCTGTGAGCTGCAGATACTGAATAGTTCAGTACTGTCATTTTTCAGTTCAGTTCTGTTCTTTTTGGTGCATATCTCTGGTGTAAAAAGCTCCTTGGCAGAAGACCTTGCTTCCTAGAGGAACTGAGCAAGTTCTGTGGGGGAGGAGATACTTGTAAAATCTGTGCAACTCAGTAGCAGTATTTCTGGAAGTGGGTTTTGGGGGCTTGTCTTAATTTTGGGAGGAGGAGTGTGGGAGATGGGGAGCAGGTGGTATTGGGGTTTTAAACCAGATCTGCAATAATTACTTCTTGTGTGAGAGCTCAAGAACTCAAAAGAGGTGTGTTCAAGGACATCAGTGTCTTTGTGCCAAGAAGTCTATCTTTCCTATAGTAAATTAACTCCAGTTTATTTGAATATTTATTCAAAGGAAAACTCCAATATTTAAAACTGCTGTTATCAACTTTTTGTAGTGTCTGGGGAAAGGAAAAGATGATAGGATTTGGCAGGGGGGCAGCGGTATTCTGCACCAGATATGAAAACAAAAGTGCCCACTGTGGTTAGCCTTGAGTTTGCTTCATCTCTTTTTGCCTAATTGCATACTCTGAACTTGGCAGTTCTTAATGTGATCTTTAGAAAGGAACCATGGCTTTGGCTCAAATCCTTAGGGTTTGAGCAAACTCTGCAAGTACAGCAACATGGGTATGTAATGCAGGATTTTGTAACGGTTAACATGTGTTGGGCTCTTGCTGTTTCCTTTGATATTGCCTGTCTCATACACATTTTCTCCTTCCACTGCCTCCCCCTTCTTTTGGCTTGTAAATGAAAATTGCAACTGGTAGACTTGTCAAGTTCCCCTCATTAAGAGACCTCTTTTGAAAATGGGCTGTGTTTGAGTGTGGAAGAAGTGTTTGTGGAAGAATTGTTTGAAAGCAGGAACTGAGAGGAAAACTAGGGCCTAACACAGCTCTGGCATTACAGAGGCCTGTTTGGGGTGCTACACAGTTGCCACTTCCAGGATGGTTGGTACGCACGGACTCTGCTCCTCCATGGTTCCCTGGGCAACGCAATCTGCCCTCCTCGCAGCTGCAAAAGGGAGTAACGGAGGATGGAGCGGGGTGAAGGCACCGCAGCCAAACTCTGTTGCATTCCCTGTGCTGGGCTGCTGATAAGCTGCACAGTGGCTGTCTAATGAGAGATATACGATAACAAGTCCGGTGCTGAGCCAGCAAAGGTGGCAAATGATGAACTTTGCTTGAACTTTGCTCATTATAATGTGAAAACCATACCTCCATCCCCAAAGTTACCCACCTCTGAGGTACAACCACCCCTCACTGAGCATGCGCTCTAGATTTTCGGTTGACTGTACCTTTAAATGAAAGCGAGAAACTTTTTCACCAATCAATAACAATATTAAGTATGACTCTAGTCACTCAAGCTCCACCTGAATGTAAAGAAAAGTACAAAAGGTGAACTTGAGGGAAAAAGAGAAGTAAGAAATCATCATAACTCTTGGGTCAGTTGATCGTCAGGATGCCGCCTGAGGAGACTCGAGACTGAGAGCCCTCTCCCATCTTCTGGGGTGAGTGATGATTGCACATTTGTACATCAGAGCTAGCTAAAACCTCATGCTCTAGTAGAGAATTTCCTGTACTGACATCTGAAACCTGCTTTCTAAATGTTGCATTTGAATAAATCATACTGTTTGTGAACTCGACTACTTGTTTGGGGGGAGGCGATCGGACCTACGGTCCATGGGCTGTTCGCGAATTCGATACTGCCAGGGTCGAGCTTATAGTGGATCACACTATTTGGGAACTCGATTCGCTCCTAGGAAGGCGATCAGACCTACAGTCCACTGACTGTTTGTGAATCTGATACTGTTTTGATATCTCCTTCCCCCCCCTCCACCACCACTACGGCTTTCAAACTGCAACATTTTCAACACATTGAGCAATACCCTAATGAGGGCAGGACAGTGTTAAAAAGTGACCATTTCATGGTTGATTTGGACCTGCCTATTTTTCTTGATGTGTCTCCTGACATGAATAAGCTCTCAGTTGGGGGGAGAAGTCAGTGGTCCTTTCAGGATAATTCAGAGGGGGCTGACCCTAAAATGAAGCTGCAGTGCAGGTGGGGAGTAGCACCGGTGCCTCTCAGCTTCTTCCCGTTTACTGGTAGTGGCAAGGCTGAAGAGACAGGGACCATGCATCCACCTCCCAAGCTCTGTATTTCTCCTCCCAGGGGAGAAATAAATTTAATTCCCTACTTTTTAAATCCAACTTTCTCCCTCCCACCCAGCCAGCCCTTTTCTTCTTTTTTCCTGTAGCAAGAAATAAGTCCTCAGACTTCAGTTTCCCTAGTAAAAGCTGCTGTGAAAGACTGAAATCAGATTCTTGATCCTGACAGCTCCTCTCAGAGTGTTTAATGCAAGTTTAGTCATGCTCCTGCCACCACCACATCCTCCCCAGCAAGAGAGCACCTCCTCTTCTCTTCCCCCACCTCACACTACCATAATCCCCTAAAACAGGGCTCGTTTTGCAGGCTATCTGGGTACTTCACACGCATGCATGGTCAGGCTGCCACAGGTGGGTGGAGGTAGTGGAAAATGAGGGCCACCTGTTAAAAGGGGTTTTTGGGAGGTTAACAAAAAAGAGACTTGTCTCTCTCATCTCATATCACATCTTCCATGGTGCTGCAGATTGTGACTGTTGTGGTGCAGAAACAGGAGTGGAACTGCAATCCCTTTCTTTTCCACCTCCTTCCTGGCTAGGTTGTAGCTGCCCACTGCAAAATTATACCTCTCTTCAGGAAAGACAATTGTGGTATTTGTCGACTGAGAGAAAAAAAAAATCCTTTCTCTCTTTCTTTGTCCCTCCTAATGGGGTTAATTAGCAATGTTATGGCTACAATTCCTACTTCTAGTTCTCTCAGGCTGCACCTAGTGGCTCCCAGATTTACAGCGACATAGCTGCTGTGAGGAATAATCGTGCTTCCTTTATAACCCATGGGTTTCTGAAGCTCTTCAGAACCTTTTGCCACCAGGGAAGCCAAGTGAGGATTTTGTTCTTTTAAAACTCATTTTGAGACATTAATGGTATTGGAAGTAACCCTTCAGAAATTAAGTGCTTGCAGAACATATTTGTCATTACTGCTTTAAAAAGAAATAAATATCTTGATACTGGAGCATATTCAGAATAGTAAATTATATCTGTAAAACTCAATTATATCTGTAAAGTTCTCAGAAGCTTTTGTGAAGGTCTGTCTTAGGAGGATGTGATGTAAAATGATTAAGCAATAACTACTTGCTTCCCTAATGGTATAACAAATAGCTAAAGAAAAAGAAAATGTGTGGAAATAAGTCTAGTGTTGTATTAAACAGCTAATAATGCACTTAGAGTTTCATAGTGAACAAATAATTGATTATTTGATGATTAAAAAACGTTGTGATTCAAAATAGATTAAACATTCATAAATTGTGAATGAAGATGTCAGCAATAAGGATTATTTAGTGATTGATTACAGTTTTATAGCTTTTTAGCTGACCCCTTTTTGTTGTTTATACTTTGTTTACATCTAAATGATTGACTTGGGTATAGATATTTTCAGCAAGTAAATGTGAACTTCACTGGAACAAAACTGGAAATTGAAATAGTTGTACTTCAAAGGAAAAAATAATGCAGTATATATAGATTACACTTTGTGTAAAAGAGATGCAAAAATTACAAGTACACACATAGGAATTATTTCTGGTGGAGTCCGTGATTATTACAAACAAACAAACGAAACCCCATATGCTGTCCTTTCTGTAAAATTATTGATAGCTAATGAGACCTCTGCACATTAATATATATTGAAGAGAAATACAAAGGAAACAAAGTAGGTTTTACATTGAAAATAATGAACCTTAACTTCTACCTGTAATACAGCAGATAAAATGTTTGATATTTAGTGGTCTAATTATGTTTTTCCCTATGTGTTTGGACTTTTTCCTTAAGAGATGTAATAAAGCCCATCACTTTTACTAAATCTGTTTTAAAATCTCACTATTTAAGTTTATATAAAAAACATAAATAATTGATTTTCTAAAAGTATGAATGAGTCATTTTTTGTCTTTTTGTGTTTAAAAACTTTTTAATATGTTTTCCAATCATGCTGTATCATGTGCCATGTAGAAGTGGCTCATATTTAGCAAATCTGTAAACTTTGTCTTCTGCTTGGAATGATTAAAGGGTTTCTTTAGTCATCTCTTCTTTATCTAATTTTAAAGATTATAGTATAAATGAGAACTTATACCTTGTCTTATTTATTTAAAATAAAAGTTTGATTATTTGTCAACTGTAACTGAGTTAAATCCAAACTATCGGAGTTGTATCTATTTTTTTTTTCCTCTGTCCATAAGATGTCTCAAATACACTCTGACTGTGTAGTAATGTGCTCAAAAATATTTTGGTAAAAATTTCTAACAGTGATCAAAATAGAATACCTGATTGAACAAAGGTCCTTGCAAAATCAGTAGTTCAGTTTGTGTAGATACAACTTTGTAGCAACTCATAAAAACAGATCTTTTTATTTAATTGTTGCAGATAGTTAGGGAACGGCGGCCGGAAGATATCGTGCTGTACGGAAAGATAGGGCCCCTAATAGCCAATAGTGTTTAGTTTATGATGTAAGCAGATGGATGTGACGTTGTAAACCAAGCTATATAACACCTTGTTACCCATCAATAAAGGCCATTTGCCGTCCACCACGTTGGTGTCAGCGAGCTGATGGCCCGAGCGGCTTGGGGGTGGTCGTCGTGCCGTCCCTGAACCAGGTTACCGCGCCGTTTGAACTGTAACAACTGGTGCCAAAACCCGGGAAGTCATCGCCTGGATGGGTGAACGGCGGCCAGAGCGAGTGGACCAGCCCGGTGGGGAGGATGCTCCCGGACGAACAAGGAGGATGGAAGCCCTTGTGAAGGTCATATCGCAATTACATAAGCATTGGGGGATTGGTTGTAAGCCAAAAGATTTTACTCTCGCTGTTGCGAGGCTTTTAAAAATTAAGGTTATAGACCAGCCGGTGGATATTCTGAAGTCCCTGAAG